TTTTTGCGTAAATTCCCTTTCATAAATTCTTTTATGACTTACACAGACCATGTAGGATATATTTAGACTTTCTGACTTGTGTAAACATCCCTCTTTTTAAACAACCAGTCATTTTACTTTAGGACAAGAATTTACCATACAAGATCTTTTCTTATATAAATTGTTGCAGGAAGTCAGGGACCCCAAACAGAGGGACTGGCTGGAGCTGCAGCAGAGAAACATAAATTGTGAAGATTTCATGGACATTTAACAGTTCCCAAATAATACTTTTACAATTTCTTATGCCTGTCTTTACTTTAATCTCTTAATCCTGTTATCTTCGGAAGCTGAGGATGTACATCACCTCAGGACCATTGTGATAATTGTGTTAACTGTACCAATTGATTGTAAAATATGTATGTTAGAACAATATGAAATCAGGGCACCTTGAAAAAGAACAGAGTAACAGCGATTTTTAGGGAACAAGGGAAGACAACTATAAGGTCTGACTGCCTGAGGGGTTGGGCAAAAAAAGCCATATTTTTCTTCTTGCAGAGAGCCTATAAACAGATGTGCAAGTAGGAGAGATATCACTAAATTCTTTTCCTAGCAAGGAATATTAATATTAATACCCTGGAAAAGGAATGCATTCCTGGGGGGAGGTCTATAAATGGCCGCTCTGGGAATGTCTGTTGAGATAAGGACTGAGATATGCCCTGGTCTCCTGCAGTGCCCTCAGGCTTACTAGGGAGAGGAAAAACTCTGCCCTGGTAAATTTGTGGTCAGACCAGTTCTCTGCTCTTGAACCCTGTTTTCTGTTGTTTAAGATGTTTATCAAGACAATACGTGCACTGCTGAACATAGACCCTTATCAGTGGTTCTGCTTTTTCCCTTTGTCCTGTTACCTCAGAAGCATGTGATCTTTGTTACACCCTTATTAGTAGTTCTGCTTTTTGCCCTTTGGAGCATGTGATCTTTGTACCTACTCCCTGTTCTTACACCCCCTCCCCTTTTGAAACCCTTAATAAAAACATCCTGGTCTGAGACTCAGGTGGGCATCACAGTCCTACCAATATGTGATGTTACCCCTGGTGGCCCAGCTGTAAAATTCCTTTCTTTGTACTGTCTCTCTTTCTCAGCTGGCCGACACTTATGGAAAATAGGAAGAACCTATGTTGAAATATTGGGGGCGGGTTCCCCCAATAATAAATTTCTTTTCTTTATAACTTTCTTTGCATAGCTAGGAACCATGGATAATCCACATGTTCCAAGGTCTTATCTAGACTTCAATGCTCCCAAATAAATTGAACAAGTTTTTAAAGTCAAATAAGCAGTTTGTGACCTGAAAGCATTTAATAAACTTAATATTTGACCTGAAAAATTTAGACCAAATGTTTACATTTTTGAAGATATTTATATTTTACCAATAATCTTTAAAACTGTCTTTATTTCCCAAAGATTACTTAAGTCACATGGACCAAAAGGCATTACACTTTTTACTTTTCTGACAAAATATTTCATTTAAGATATTATTATTATATAAAGGAATTAATTAAAACTCTTTCATATATAAACATCACACAGATAATACGTATAAATACACAGACAAAAGATAAAGGATCATCCTCTAAGCCAAGAATTGTACCCTGAACCTGGGCTACCATTGTAAAAAGAGAAAGCATGGCCACATGGTTACAAGGGCAAGCTCCCAAGGACATACAAGACAAGAGGGAAACCTCATACAGTGTTTTCACGGATCTGCAGCAAAGTTTGTAACTGATCAGTTTGCTGGGCCATCTTGAAAAGTGGGCTTACAGGTGTCCTAAGCCCACATTCTATCACAAGGTACTCCTCTCCATTACAGAACACAGAAAGACACAAAAAGCACACCAAATTCACTGCAGCTTAAGACTAGCCTCATAAGTCCTTTTTCCCATTAATTAAAATATTACAGGAAATAACCAGTGATTTTTTTTTTCCATTTATTCAACCAGTTTATACAGAGAAAGAGAGAGAGAGAGAAAGAGAGATACTGAGTAAGAGGAAAGCATTGCCTATTTCCTAGGTGTCGGCTGGTTTGAGAAATAAAGGGAAAGAGCTTAAGAGAGAGAAATTTAAAGCTGGATGTCCAGGGGAGACATCACATATTGGCAGGATCCATGATGTTCCCTGAACTGTATAACCAGCAAGTTTTTATTAGCGATTTTCAAAAGAGGAGGGAGTGCATGAATAGGGTGAGGGTTACAGAGATCACATACTTCACAAGGTAATAAAATATCACAAAGCAAATGGAGGCAGGGCGAGATCACAGGACCACCGGATGGGGCAAAATTAAAATTGCTAATGAAGTTTTGGGCACGCATTGTTGTTGATAACATCTTATCAGGAAACAGGGTTTGAGAGCAGATAACCTGTCTGACCAAAATTTATTAGGTGGGAATTTTCCTCTTCCTAATAAGCCTGGGAGCGCTACAGGAGACCGGGGCTTATTTCATCCCTTCGGCTTCGACCATAAAAGATGGCACACCTTGAGGGGGCTGTTCACAGGCCTACCCTCAGGGCACATTCTCTTTCTCAGGGATGTTCCTTGCTGAAAAAAAGAATTCAGTGATATTTCTCCTATTTGCTTTTGAAAGAGGAGAAAAATAGCTCTGTTCCGTCCGGCTCACCAGCGGCCAGTTCAAAGTTACCTCTCTTGTTCCCTGAACATTGCTGTTATCCTGTTCTTTTTGCAAGATGCCCAGATTTCATGTTGTTCAAACACACATGCTCTACAAACAATTTGTGCAGTTAACACAATCATCACAGGGTCCTGAGGTGACATTCATCCTCCTCAGCTTAAGTGTCCTTGAAATCTTCACAATTTATGTTCAGAGATTGCAGTAAATACAGGCATAATAAATTATAAAAGTATTAATTTGGGGAACTAATAAATGTCCATGAAATCTTCACAATTTATGTTCTTCTGCTGTGGCTTCAGCCAGTCCCTCCGTTTGGGGTCCCTGACTTCCTGCAACACCCATTAGCTCTCAAGTTTCATCTTTTAGGGAGGAAAAAGCTCTCCATGTCCAATGGTCCTGTCCATGCCTAGTCCTGTCACCTATAACCATTATCAAGCAGTGCAGGGCAGATTAATTCGAAGAGAATAGCAGTTAACATCCCATAGTGCCAAACCTGTTCTTAGCTGAAAGGGACTTTACCAAGAGGGACCTCTAAACCCCTAAATTGGGCCTCTAACCCAAGGTCAGTCAAGTGTCCATGCCTTTTAAGAACAGTCTCTAACCCGCTCTGTCTTAGAAGAGACTCTAACTCCCCTAAGTTGGGCCTCTAACCCAATCCCATCCTTTACCTAGCTACTCCACCACTTATCCAAAGTTGGTCAATCAGTGCTGCAGTCTATTTCCTTTGGATAGGAGGGGTCTTCTCAGTATCATCCCTTTAAGGTTAGCCAGAAAGGTTTTACTGGAGCCCATCACTTACCAAAAGTTAAGTCATTGAGTCAGCAGTTTCGGCACTATTGTTGCTTCCATGGTTGCCAGAAAGATGTTACAGGAAAGGGGTATTGATCCAGACCCACAGAGAGGGTTCTTGGATGTTGCACAAGAAAGAATTCAGGGCAAGTCCATAGAATAAAGTGAAAGCAAGTTTATTAAGACAGCAAAGGAATAAAGAATGGCTACTCCATAGAGCAGGGCCAACAACTGCTGGTTGCCCATTTTTATGGTTATTTCTTGATTACATGCTAAACAATGGGTGGATTATTCATGCCTCCCCTTTTTAGACCAATAGGGTAACTTCCTGATGTTGCCATGGCATTTGTAAACTGTCATGGCGCTGGTGGGAATGTAGTAGTGAGGATGACCAGAGGTCACTCTCGTGGCCATGTTGCTTTCAGTGGGTTTCAGCCGGCTTCTTTACTGCAAGCTGTTTTATCAGTAAGGACTTTATGACCTGTATCTTGTACCGACCTCCTATCTCATCCTGTGACTCAGAATGCCTCAGCAGGTCTCTGCCTCATTTTACCCAGCCCCTATTCAAGATGCAGTTGCCCTGGTTTACACACCTCTGACACAGGGGTTGGGGGAAATGATAGAACTACATTCTCTTTTTCCTAAATATTGCTCTGCTTCTTGCTGCCTTTGGGTTTTGTCCCTGGAGACTTACTTCATTGGGCCTTAAAGGATTTCTGGGTCTCAGGAGAGACCCCTGAAATGGGTGTCCCTAAGATTTTTAGAAGTAAGCTATTAAGTAGGGCAAACTTGAACTCTTGAGGAAGAGGAGACATGAATGTTGACTGTGCTGAATGTGAAATGTGTGCTTTGAGGCCGGAGCATGGACTGTTGAAAAATATCCAAGGCTGCATATCTTAATTTCCACTGTTGCTTTCCTGGGACTCCATGCCATACAACTTTGTTTATTCTCCTCTTTGATCCCTCTGCACCAACAGTCTAGTGTAGTGCTTACCTGGTAATAACAGCTGTGCTCATGCTGTGATCTTTTATTAGGCTGTGCCTTTCTTAGGGGTAAGGATCTTATTCTTATCATCTTTTGGTGCTGCCCATTGCCTGGCATGAAAAAGGTGCTCAGAATATGTCTGTTTTCAAATGAATGGGGCTGAAATTTTTGCTAAGTAAGATTATATTGCATAAAACTCTTGCAAGTAATGAAATAGATGTTTTAATTCAAATAAAACTATAAGAAAATACAGAAGGAGAATATATACATGGAACAGAAATGATTAAATATGTTTTATGTATATTACATGTTGAGATGTTGAAATTCACCTAAACCCTAAAAATCTGTGGAGAAGGGAGAAAAACACAAAGCATAATAATTATATAACAAGTCGGATTGTGGATAATCCAAAAAGCAGATCAGAAATTCAAGGATAAAGAATGTTCATGCCTTTGTTTAAAAACTCTTACACTGAGTCAGACAAACCATTAGTGGTATTTGGAAACAGATTTCTTTTTCACTTTGCAGAGGCTAGGGAGAGAATAGGTTTTATCCTCTCGCTGTGTTTATTTGAGTCCCATGCAAAATGACAGTGAAGTGTCAGCCATATTTTTCTCATGGTGTTCATTAAATTGCTTGTTCTGAGCTTCAGTGAACTGATTTTTCCAATCTCCCACAACTCCTGCAAAGAGTAATGCAGAGCATATTCAATGATATTTTCATAAACTTTGACTATTTTGGATTTAGATAATCTCATGCCTCTCAATACTTAGATTGCTTATATAGATATTAACACATTGTCCTGCTGACATTGAAATGAGAAAAGAAGTCACAGGTATGATTACTCCATTTCATAGGTGAGGTATTTGTAAATAGCAAGTTTTATGTTTCAGTAAAGCCTGAACTCTAGATCACAGGTTCCCTAATTATCTGCACTTCTCTACTGTACCAGCACTTTCTTAAACCTCAATACATCTAACATTCTATTCAAGTTAGTGAGACCTAATTTTCTTACCCTCTCTTCAGAGGTCACCGAATGACCACATTCTCAGAGTATCATATGCTCCTTCCATCTGTGCCTCTAGTTCAGGCAAAATTCTCAGTTGAACACAACTGAGAATTCTCCTTTCCTATCTAAATTCTCATTGCTGTAAACATATCATTAAATTAAAGTAATAGAATATGAAGGAATGGTAGGATTGGCTAACTTTGTTTTATACTTATGCAATAGAGTATTCAATTTTTTTTTGGCTTCAACAGCCAAAAATTGTCAGACAGCTGACAGCAAGCTATTTTTCTTCTATTTGCCCCATAGTATTGAATCTATTTAGGCACTTTGAGCTGTATAACGTAATTTTCATATGTGCTATGTAAATTTGCTTAATTGTCTATGAGTAATACCATCACATCACTTACCAGTTGGTTTAAAAGAAAACTAGGCTAATTGATTAAATTAGAGTGGATACTTCTCCAATAAGCCTTGGATTTTTGCTTACTTTTTAAAAAAAAGGTACTAGATAATTTTTTTTAAAGTTACCAAAATAAAGAGAATGAAACAAAATTTGTCTTCATTTAAGGAGCCAACCATTGGATAGTGGAGGGTGCTCAATGGGCTGGAGGCTGAATCCTGGTCTGGCTAGCCTCTGACAATGATGACTCATAGTCCTACCTTGGCCATTCTGTGAGATGACACAGACTGAGTAACACTCGAAGCGCCACCCTCTGACTCCTACGGCCAACAACATTTGCCACTATCTCCCAGAATATATTGGGAGGAACACTTGTTTCATGGAGATTAATAGGCTTTACTGGAGAAAGAATTTTTGGTCACATACATTTTTGAAGCTTTGAGTTATGCAGAGTTAAACCAGTTTCCTTGCAGAAACTATAATATGCTTCAAAGGGTGTAGGGCAAGGTGTGTAGTGTCCCACACTTCTCTGATGGTGAAGCACGTGCTCTCAGAATAAAGCTTTGAACAACTCACTTCAGGAAACACTGTAAACAGTGGTTTCAACTAGCTTGAACGTGGGAAGACATTGATAAATTGATATTATTTATTCTGTTGTCAGAAGAAAGAGAAAGCAACTATACATCACCTTTTCTCAAGAATGGAGAGAGATTATGATTCATTTTAATTTCATTTATGTAGTTGGTCATGGGGTTCTTTTTCATTACATCAAATGAAGTGTTATAGACAATTTTGTCTAAAATCTCTTCTTTTAGGTTCTTCCCAAGGAATTCCATTATCTTTCTAATTTCACGTTTTGGATCCTGTTGGGGAGAGTAGAAGAAGAGAGCTCTCTAACAAAGGAAAAAATATAACAACAGTCAAACCTTAAAGAATTATGGGAATAATGGTTAAAATATTTTAAACAATGTCAGTTTATGTTTAAAAGTAATTTTGAAATGCTTTGCTTATTAACATATGCAGATCTGTAAATGTCAGTTCAACAAATATGGCAATCTTAAAGTGCAGTGATATGCAAACAAGTGTGTTTGTTCCTGTGCTGTAGCTGATGTTAAGGGGACATGCTGAGAACGGTTTCATCTGGGAAGTTTAATGTTTTACTGGGAAGTATAATATTTTACTCACTTTCATTGTTAGCGGATAAGAAGTTATTTGGGAAAAACATCACAAGACAGCTGAAAAATTCTGAAGAGAAAAGACACAAACTCTTGGGAGCTCTATCACCTGAGAAACTCAAGTACTCATCCTGGAAGACGTAGGGCAAGATTATATTGCCTTTCTACTGCTGCAGCTGGTGGTCTCTTGAAAGGTCTACCTCCTGGCTGGAGGCCATGCAACTCAAGTCATTATAGCAACTCATAACAGAACAACCCTGCTCCAAAGAAGGAGAAAAAACAACAGCTAACTCCACTGCCCACATCACCCTGGCTAACCAGAAGTCTTGAGTCTGTCCATGTGGCAACTTCATTGCTAGCATAACCAGCATTCAAGAAAACCAGTGCACTAAACAAAACTACGAACAAGGACTCCTACAGAGTTCATTTCACTCCCTTGCCACCTCCATCACAATAGGTGCTGGTATCCATTGCTGAGACACCTGAAGATGGATCACATCACAGGACTCTCTGCAGACACTCCCCAGTGTCAGCCCATAGCCTGGTAACTCTATTCGGTGGTTAGGCCCAGAAGGGCAATAACAATCACTGCAGTATGGCTCTCAGAAAGCCCTAATCTTAGAGGAAAAGCAGGGAGAGCACCACATCAAGGAGTTACCCTGTGGGACAAAAGAATCTGAACAACAGTCCTTGGATTCCAGATCTTTCCACTGAAAGAGTCTACCCAAATGAGAAGGAACCAGAAAAGTATTTCTGGTAGTATGACAAAACGAGGTTCTGTAACATCCCTAAAAGATCACACTAGTTCTCCAGCAATGAATCCAAACCAAGAAGAAATCTCTGAATTACCAGAAAAAGAATTCAGAAGATTGATTATTAAGCTACTCAAGAAGATACCAGAGAAAGATAAAAACCAATTTAAAGATATTTAAAAAATTAGAGGATATGAATGAAAAAGTCTCCAGAGAAATAGATATCATAGGGAAAAGACAGTCAGAACTTCTGGAAATGAAAGACACACTTAGAGAAATGGAAAATATACTGGCAAATTTCAACAATAGAATTGAACAAGTAGAAAAAAGTAGTTCAGAACTTGAAGGCAAGGCTTTTGAATTAACCCCATTCAACAGAGACAAAAAAGAACCAAAAAATGAACAAAGCCTTCAAGAAATTTGGGATTATGTTAAACAAAAATAAGAATAATTGGTGTTCCTGAAGAAGAGAAATCTAACAGTTTGGGAAAGTTATTTAAGAGAATAATCGAGAAAAATTTCCCTGGTCTTGCTAGAGATCTGGACATCCAAATACAAGAAGCTCAAAGAATACCCACGAAATTCATTGTGAAAAAAATCTTCACCCAGGTACATAGTCATCAGGTTATCTAAAGTCCAGACAAAGTAACGATTTTTTTTTTTTTTTTTTTGATATGGTCTTTTGCTCTTGTCGCTCAGGCTAGAGTGCAATGAATGGCATGGTCTTGGGTCATCGCAACCTACACCTCCCAGGTTCAAGCGATTCTCCTTCCTGCCTCAGCCTTCCAAGTAGCTGGGATTACAGGCATGCAGCACCACGCCCCACTACTTTTGCATTTTTAGTAGAGATGGGGTTTCTCCATGTTGGTCAGGCTGGTGTTGAACTCCAAACCTCAGGTGATCCACCCGCCTTGGCCTCCCAAAGTGCTGGGATTACAGGCATGAGCCACCATGCCCGGCTAGAATCTTAAGAGCTGTGAATCAAAAACATCAGTTAACCTATATAGAAAAACCTATTGGATTAATGCAGATTTCTCAGCAGAAACCTTGCAAACCAGAAGGGATTGGGGTCCTACCTTTAGCCTCCTTAAACAATATAATTAACAGCCAAGAACTTTGTATCTAACAAAACTAGCTTTGTAATGAAGGAGAGATAAACTCTTTTTCAGACAAACAAATGTTCAGGGAATTCAGCGCTTGCAGAGTGCTGGCAAGCTCTGCAAGACATGCCAAAAGGAGTTCTAAATCTTGAAACAAAACCTTAAAATACGCAAAAATAGAACCTCCTTAAGGCATAAACCTCACAGGACCTATAAAACAATAACACAGTGAAGAAAGCCCAAAGTATTCAGGCAACAACTAGCATCATGAATAGAACGGCACCTCAAATCTCATTACAGACATTGAATGTAAATGACCTACAGGCTCCACTTACAAGATACAGAATGGCAGAATGGATAAAAATCCACCAACCACGTATCTCCTGTCTTCAAGAGACTCACCTAACACATAAAGACTCATATAAACTTAAGGTAAGGGGGTGGAGAAAGATAATCCATGAAAATGGAAACCAAAAGTGAGCAGGAGTAGCTATTCTTATATTGGACAAAACAGACTTTAAAGCAACAACAGTTAAAAAAGACAAAAGGGAAGATGGTCAAATAGGAACAGCTCTGGTCTACAGCTCCCAGTGAGATCGATGCAGAAGATGGGTGATTTCTGCATTTCCAACTGAGGTACCTGGTTCATCTCATGGGGACTGGTTGGACAGTGGGTGCAGCTCACGGAGGGTGAGCTGAAGCAGGGCAGGGTGTCACCTCACCCAGGAAGTGCAAGGGGTCAGGGGATTTCCCTTTCCTAGCCATGGGAAGCCATGAGTGACTGTACCTCGAGGAGCGGTACACTCCTGCCCAAATACTGCAATTTTCCCACTGTCTTTGCAACCGGCAGACCAGGAGATCCCCTCCTGTGCCTGGCTTGGCAGCTCCCACACTCATGGAGCCGTGTTTGCTGCTAGCGCAGCAGTCTGAGATTGACCTGGGACGTGGTTGCTTGGTGGGGGGAGGGGCATCCACCATTGATGAGGCTTGAGTAGATAATTCCATGCTCACAGTGTAAACAAAGTGGCAGGGAAGCTCGAACTGGGTGGAGCCCACCACAGCTCAGCAAGGCCTAATACCTCTCTAGATTCCACCTCTGGGGGTAGGGCATATCTGAACAAAAGGCAGGAGACAGCTTATCCAGACTTAAACATCCCTGTCTAACAGCTCTGAAGGAGGAGTGGATCTGCCAGCATGATGTTCGAGCTCCAATAATGGACAGACTGCCTCCTCAAGTGGGTCCCTGAGTCCCATGTAGCCTGACTGGGAGAAACCTCCCAGTAGGGGCCGACAGACACCTTATACAGGCAGGTGCCCCTCTGGGATGAAGCTTCCAGAAGAAGGATCAGGCAGCAATATTTGCTGTCCTTCAGCCTCCACTGGTGATACCTAGGCAAACAGGGTCTGGAGTGGACTTCCAGCAAACTTCAACAGACCTGCAACTAAGGGGCCTGTTAGAAAATTCCAAAAACCAGAAGGCCTCTTCTCCTCCAAAGTATCACAGCTCCTCACTAGCAAGGGAAGAAAACTGGACAGAGAATGAGTTTGATGAGTTGAGAGAAGTAGGCTTCAGAAGGTGGGCAATAACAAACTTCTCCAAGCTAAAGGAGCATGTTCTAACCCATTGCAAGGAAGCTAAAATTCTTGAAAAAAGGTTAGATGAATGGCTAACTAGAATAAACAGTGCAGAAAAGAGCTTAAATGACCTGACGGAGCTGAAAACCACAGTACAAGAACTTGGTGAAGCATACACAAGCTTCAGTAGCCAATTTGATCAAATGGAAGAAAGGATATCAGTGATTGAAGATCAAATGGAATAAAGTGAGAAGACAAGATTAGAGAAAAAAGAGTGAAAAGAAATGAACAAAGCCTCCAAGAAATATGGGACTATGTGAAAAGACCAAGTCTACGTTTGCTTGGTGTACCTGAAAGTGACCGGGAGAATGGAACCAAGTTAGAAAACACTCTTCAGGATATTATCCAGGAGAACTTCCCCAGTGAAGGAGAAATAAAATCCTTTACAGACAAGGAAATGCTGAGAGATTTTGTCATCACTAGGCCGGCCTTACAAGAGCTCCTGAAGTAAGCAGTAAACATGGATAGAAACAACCGGTACCGGCCACTGAAAAAACATGCCAGATTATAAAGACCATTGTTGCTATGAAGAAACTGCATCAATTAACAGGCAAAATAATCAGCTAACATCATAATGACAGGATCAAATTCACACATAAAAATATGAACCTTAAATGTAAATGGGCTAAATGCCCCAGTTAAAAGACACAGACTGGCAAACTGGATAAAGAATCAAGACTCATTGGTGTGCTGTATTCAGGAGACCTATCTCATGTGCAAAGACACACATAGGCTCAAAATAAAGGGATGGAGGAATATTTACCAAGCAAATGGAAAGCAAAAAAAAAAAAATGCAGGGCATTGCAATCCTGGTCTCTGATAAAACATACTTTAAGCCATCAAAGATCAAAAGAGACAAAGAAGGCCATTACATAATGGTAAATGGATCAATTCAACAAGAAGAGCTAACTATCCTAAACATATATGCACCCAATACAGGAGCACCCAGATTCATAAAGCAAGTTCTTACAGACCTACAAAGAGACTTACACTCCCACACAATAATAATGTTAGACTTTAACACCCCACTGTCAATACTGGACAGATCAACAAGACAGAAAATTGACAAGGATATCCAGAACTTGAACACAGCTCTGGACCAAGCAGACCTAAGAGACATCTACACAACTCTCCACCCCAAATCAGCAGAATATACATTCTTCTCAGCATCACATCACACTTATTCTAAAATTGAGCACAT